AGACTGGAACTTTAGTTTTGGTAGGGCAATCTTGGAACTCTGAATTCATAACCAGCTTGAAGAAGGATGGACTTTCTTGAGTAATGTTGCCCAAGACACACCTATTGATGCTGTAGCCACACTACCACTACAAGGGTTGCCAATGAGAAAACATTGTCACCTGGTTTTGATAGGGTGCTCTGCTTAAATTTCAAAAACTAAAAGAAATGTTATTTTGTCTATTTTCTCGAGGCAGTTGCTCCTTTTGTTTGTACGATCATTTCAAAGTTATTTGATCTTCAAAAATGTTATTAACTTCTGTTTTCTTAATTCTTGTTATTTTAGTCTTCTCTCTCCTTAATTGTTGTAGAGTAGTTTCACAGTGGACGCTTGTATTTCACTAAGTCGGTCCTAAAATAGGTTCGACGTACAAAACGTTAGGAACTTGATATAATAGGTAATGACGCAGAGATCTAGTTGTGGTGGCTGGTACTTTTAGTATCTGACTAACAGTCGTCCGACAAATCGACTGACTGACCAACTCACTGAGTGACTCCTACTACTCCTACTTATTATAGGTGGGAGAGTCTATTAACTATAGAATAGGGGTGTTCCACTATAACATTAATAGTGTTTTTCTTTTCTCATATTCTCTAACACTTTGTAACCCTTTTAATTATACTGACTCTTTTCTTAGCAGTGTGACCAATTCATGTGATGACTTTTGCTTTTTTTTTTTTCAACAATCTCGTATGGATAGCACTATTTGACTTAGTTTTCAAACGTCACCTGTCCAGCTATGATGTGCCACTCAGTAACCAAGCATTTTATGACGCTATTGGTGTGAAGCGGGGGGGGGATTTCCTTATTACATACCAAAACAGGGTTGGTAATTTTCAACAGGGATCAATAGACAACAACCCTTCAATCTCTAACACCATCTACAAGCCATTCTTGGCCCTCAACACAAACATAGTGTGAAGAAGTCAATAGAGTCTTCAATGTCCTGGTTTTTTAATCACCGTCACCTTTTTTTTGGGGGGGTGATGGTTGCCATTTAGGGTTATGTTAAAAAATTCTTCATCTCTCAAGCAAGGTCCTAGCATTTTATTATTATTATTATTTTTGAAGGTGAGAGAGAACTGCATCCAAACATATGGACACTGGAACATCACATATCCTTGAAAGTGGAGCTTAAATACTTTCAAGTTGAGTCACCTCATCTGCTCAGTCTCCAAGTATCTATCAGCATGGCTGATGCCCAACTCCACAGGAGTGTCTCTCTTGATCTCACTTTCCTGGTCTCATGTTTTCCACTGACCTGAGGTGGAACAACTACATTGAATCAATAGCTTCATCTACTGCAAGGAAAGTTGGTTCTCTGAGCCACGCCAGAAGTTTTTTCTCACCTGAGTCCATCCTTCAAATCTACCATTCGTCCTTGCTTTAACTACTATTGCCATATATGGTCTGGTGCCCCCACTGTTCATCTCAAGGTGCTTGACAAAATCCAGAGACGGATATGCAGTGTGATAGGTCCTGATCTGGTATCTACAGTTACTTTCTCACAGATGTGCTGTGGCTTCCCTCTGTCTTTTCTATAAATATTTTCATGGCAACCGCTCTGCCGAGCTACTTTCATTGGTGCCCCCAACTGCATGAATTTAAGTGTGCTACTAGGTTGGTATCTTGGTCCCACCCTTTCACTATCTAGCCACAAACACTGACTGAAACAAGCAACAATATTCCTTGTACCAAAACAACACATTATTACTTTCCATTCTTACTACAGTCACCACAATACCACAGAGTCTCTATGAAGTCCTAAGTAGTTCCCATATGTATAATTTGTCTGTGGAAAGCTCATCAGAACAATTATCATGAAAGTATTTATAGAAAAGCACAAGGAAACTATGTTATGATGGTGGGAAAGTGACTGAAGCTGATATGCCAGGTCAGGACAAATAATATTGCTGATTCTTCTTTTGATGCCATCAAGAATCTCTAAATATATAGCAGGAGCACCAGATCATATGTGGCAGCAATATTTCGAAGGATGGACGAATGCTAGACTTATATGTAAGATAGATTCTGGAGAGAATCTATGACACAGTGAACCAAATTTCTTAGTAACAGACCTAGCAATTGATCTGATATAATCTTTCCACTTTGTGTCAGCTAAGAACGTTAACCTGAGAAGGTGCAACAAGTCATTCTCCTGGAGGTTAGCATCCAGTAAAAGTTAAACCAACTTTCAATACTTTCTGCTTTATTTAGTCACTTACAAGTTGTAATTATTATTTGTTAATTGATTGTTTTTCTCATTGATCTTCGCTTGATGTAACCTTTATCATTTTTTTTTTTATCTATTTCTACTTTAATCAATTCATTTATTGCTGAAAGACTTCCAAAGGATGTTTACATACACCTGACATCTAATAGACAAATATTTGCTTAGACACTTTATATTATCAGTATTTGTACATAGCCTAACTCGATAATACTCTTAAGCTTAAGTGGATTTCTAATGACATATCAACTCTTTAGATTCATTTTATGTCAAAACTGGTTTATTTTGGTTTATATTTGGCCAATCTTTGTTTTTTTTTTTTTTTTTATATATGTTCAGATAAAGAGTGTTCCAATAACTTGGACCGATTTTAAATGATTTTTTTTTTTTCTTTTTCTTTCAGATTTAACAACTTAAGTCTTTGTTAAACTTTCCATGGTTGAAATTGCCAATCAAACAACGTGTTAAAGTTTCAAGAGTGCAATTGAAAAAATTCTTCGTAAATTAAAACAAACTGTATCATTGGCAGATGTGAAGACACCATTGCGTGCTCGTTTATGCTGTTCAGCTAAAAACATTGGTGCAGTGAACGAGAATATGGCCAAAAATCCAAACACCTCTATACGTCTTTTCTTTTTCTGATGTTTTAATATATTTTTATATAATAATATATAAAGGGTATTCCAATAACTTTGGCCGATTTTAAATGTGAATAAAGTTTAAGTGTCTAATGATTTTATTCTTTTTCTTTCAGATTTAACAACTTAAGTCTTTGGCAATTTCAACCATGGAAAGATTAACAATCAAACAACGTGTTAAAGTTATCAAGGCCTATTATGAAAATGGACGTTCAAACAGAAAGACTTAAATTGTTAAATCTGAAATCATGATGTGTGCAAAATGCATTTCTGTTTGAACATCCATCTTCATAATAGGCTTTGATAACTTTAACACGCTGTTTGATTGTTAATCTTTCCATGGTTGAAATTGCCAAAGGCTTAAGTTGTTAAATCTGAAAGAAAAAGAATAAAATCATTAGATGCTTAAACTTAATTTATGTTTAAAATCAGTCCAATTTATTGGAACACCCTTTATAATCCAATAATTTATTTTAATATTTTCAAATAGTACTTATAACACATATTTTCAACTCAATTCTAAGTTGTCCAAATTTCTTTGATAAAACCTTGTCATTTAGTGCAAGGTTTTACGATTTTTTTTTTTTTTTTTTTTTTTACACAAAAAATAGGTTGCACTATACACAGATCATTTTTTTTCTTTTTGAAGAGGTCAAAAATAATGCATTTTTGGTGACCAGTTGCACTATACAAAAGTAAAATTTTTCTGGAGGAGTTAAAAGACATGCAAAAAAATTCAAGGGTGGCACTATACATGAAGTTGACTAATATACAATTATATATGATAGTTTTTTCTTCATATCATTTCTTGTTCAAACAAATGTCTTGCCTGAAAGTTGCGGCTGAAGCATTGTCATTAATTTCTGATAAGTCTTGCTTTCATCTTATTTTTGTTGTTTTTTATTCAAAATATTTTTTGGCTATTCAAGTTGCTTTACATTCTACAATCTGTATGGATTGAAAAATAAGGTAGCATATTCCAACAAGATTTGAACTCATATCCCATATCTTTGGAAACTCACCTAAAACTGATTTATTTTGGTTTATATTTAGGGAAAATGGAAAAAATTTTTTTTTTTTTATTATTATTATATTTTTCAGGAATGTTATAATTCTACTTGCTTTAATATTTTTGAATAATTCTTTTAAGCTATTTGCCTTGAAGAAATTGCATCTTTTGGAGTCAAGATCAATGCATTCAATTAGAAAATATTTTAACTTATATTGGGTTTGGCATGTAGGAGACCAGGGGGGAGGTCTTGTTTCAGTAAGAATGAATGCATAATTTTAGTCTGATCTATTCATAGTAGTATTATAGTAACCTTTTTCCTTTGGGATTTTTCATAATGGCAGGGTTTTTTTTGAGGGTTGGTAAGATTTAGTTTGCGTTTTTCTGTACCATTGTTCTTGCCAATGATTTTGCATGTGTTTCTTAATGGGTTTTAGATCAGTATCTGGGATTTGGTAATTTTCAGGAACTGGTTTTAATGCCTGTTTGGTACTTTTGTCTGTTCTATTATTGTCCTTAATTCTTAGGAATCCAGATGAACAGAATTTTTTTTTTAAAGTAGAGATGGCATGGATTTTTTCCAATATTTTAGCTATCAAAGAGTTTTGCAGATCGATAATACTGTACTATTAAATGTAATAATTGTCCATGGTTAAGTGTAATTGTCAAATTGCACAACAAACAGAATTGACAAAATTCTAGATAAACATTAAGAAAAGGAAGGAAAGGAACAGAGCAAAATAATATGAAGCAAACAATATATATGCAAGTCAAAACTACGCGAAGCAATGGTAATAAAGCAAAAAGTTCAGAGTAAGAATTGTTTGCCCACAAAAGGGATACAGTCAAGTGGTTATAGCATTTTGACTTCAAAACGAGAAAGAACAAAAACATAATGAAAGAAACCAACAAGTGGTCACTTTTTATTGGTTAGAAAGAAATCCATCATGCAATCTCAGATAACTATAATTTGGGGAGGGCGATGGTTTTAGCAGTTATTCCACTAGCACTGGAACGAACAACAATGGTGTCGGTCGAGTTTATGTGTCGTCAAACATGATACCTAAAAACACAGGAGACTTACCTGACAACGGTTGGGAAAAGTTCTGCTGTGTAGACGAACAGAGTGCACAGAAGTCCAGCGTATGCACAACGGCCGATGATCATAAAAGCAGATGACAAGACCTCTGTGCCTGGAGAAAATTAAAAAAAAAAAAGAAAAGATGTCAATGGAAAGAAGTTAAAAAAAAAATACAATCAGGTTTACTTGATAACTTATATCAGTGCATATATTGCAATGTCAATATCCTTCTCACCCTTTCTGGTTAATTATAAACCTGTGGTGACATGGTGTTCTATACTACAGGCTCACCAATGGTACATTACAAGGAAGATTGGTTTTTGAATTTAGATTTAGAAAATTAAAATTGTACTCAGTGTAAAAGCTGGGGTTTGATGTGATAAGTAGTGTCACCAAAAATTAGATTCATAGCTTTTACCGATTATTGATTATTTAGTTTTAAAGATCATCTGAAAAAATGTACAGAAATATCTAATTTCTGCAGGTTTTTGCTTACAAAGTGACTTCAAAATTTTACTATTTAAAGAATAAATCCAAATAAAGTTCATATATTTTGTATTACATACATTGAATGGAAAATATATTCAAACTAGAATTTTAATTATGAATCACCACAAGCTATTTTTTTTACTGTATTTGATAAGTAAAAACTGTAAAAAAAAAAAAAATTTGAAAAAAGATTACAAGAATAAAATTTGTTAGATCATAATTAATAAAACCAAAAAAATAGATAAAAGTGTATATAACACCATAATACTGCTTGGCAAAAAAATGTTTTAAATTTGCATTGTGTTGTAGAGTAGCTAGCACCCCTTCAGCACTCTACCAGATGGCCTGGCTCATAGGCCTTAAATAATCTACAATTAAGGACTTCAACAGTTGATTAATAAGTTGATACTAAGCTGATTAATATTCGGACTGATCTTCATTTGGCTATATATTTGACCCTGCTCTATTCCTTGTAAGATGTCTTGTTAATTGTTTTGTAACTTATTGTTCTGTGTTTTTTGTATGTATCTGTTAGCACCGGATACTGGTGCTGAATAAATATATTAAGCACTAATTCTTTGTGTATCATTCACCTCAACGATACAACACATTGTTTATTGAAAATCACACTAAAACTTCTACACTGTATAATATATTTCATTATTATTATTATATGGCAGTTATTTTACCAGAAGTCGTTTATTTATTTGGTTTAAATTATTTTGCTTGTTTTTTATTTATTTTTATTTTTTTTTTCTTATTTTATTTATTTATTTATTTTTTTTTTTTTTTTTTTTTTTTTTTTTTAAATCGGTGTTTTTATTAACGTAGTAAAAATTTGTTTATATCACTTATTTAATAGTTTTGTTTTGGTTTGAGAATTTAATTAAAGCTATTTGTTCGGTTCTGGGGTTGATTGTTGTAGTTTATTCTAACTATTATTTTGGCAGGAACAGTTTTTAATTTGTATTTATTTGGGTTGATTATCTTTATTTGTTTTTTCTTACGGTAACTTTATCGGGATTGGTTTGTTTATTTATTATTAGTAAATAAATGTTTATTTATTATTAAAAAAAAATAAATAAATAAATAAATAAAATAAGAAACAAAAAATAAAAATAAATAAAAAACAAGCAAAATAATTTAAACCAAATAAATAAATAAACGACTTCTGGTAAAATAACCGCCATAATAGACTACCCACAATGCACCACTGACCTGTATATATATATATAAATAGCTGAGAAAAATAACAGCACACGTGGCTTGACGATTGCATATAGCATGAAACAGACTGTCGCCTCTAAGTGTTGACTTCTATGTTCACTTTTATATATATATATATATATATATATATATTTTAAAAAAAATTGAAATGTCATTTAAAACCAGAACCTCCTGAAGAACAGAAATTAACCAAGAAACTTCAAAGTCAGGGAAAACAACAACAAAAAAAAAAAAATTTGATAGTTAAAAGTTAAGTAATTTTTTATATAATATTATTAATGCTCTATTCTTGATATTATTTTAATATTTTTAATATTGATTTAGTTTATTTTGTTTTATGGCATATCAACCTCAATGGGTTATTTAATGCTGACATTTTTAGGACAGATTCGTAGGAATAGAATATGTATTCTTTGATTTAGATTGGTTTGGTTTATTTTGTTTTATGGCATATCAACCTCAATGGGTTATTTAATGCCGACAACATTTTTAGGAATGATTCATATGAATAGAATATGCATTCTTTGGTTTAGATTGATTTGGTTTATTTTGTTTTATGGCATATCAACCTCAATGAGTTATTTAATTTTCATTGTTGGTAATATTTTTTTCCAAAAATCTATTTCTGGTTGGTTGGTTTTGTTTTACAGCATATCAACCTCAGTGGGTCATTTAATGCCAACAAAATTTTGAAATAGATTCATAGTAATAGTTTGGTTTGGTTTACAGCATATCAACCACAATAGATTATTTAATGCCAACAAAATTTTTATTGCTGGTAATATTTTTTTCCTTAATAAATCTAATTTTGGTAATATTTTTTTCTTCAAAAATGTATTGTTGGCAATAATTTTTTAAAAAAGGTATTTCTGGTAATAAAATCTATTTTTACACTTTCATAGTGTAATGACACCAGAACCCCTTGCAAAAAAAAAAAAAACCTATTTGCCCATATCTGGGACCCTAACAGGTACTACCGCCCCGGGTCAGGGTGGACCTGGGAACACCAGCAATTAAGAGGTGGTTCCACACTCCGCAAAACTTTCTGATTAGAGGCCTTGCTGTTGGATGTAGTATATCGTCTTACCCAGGAGACGGATGTAGTTTATTGTCATACCCAGGACAAATTTTTAATATTGAGCACTATATATAAAAAATATCTGTTGTTTCTTAAATCTTAACTATATATGTGTGTGTGTGTGTGTGTGTGTTTATATACAACATACTTCATCCTCTACAGAAAAAATTTAAGTCCAGAATCATGCAACATATTTCATTGTCTCTCAAAAAAATTAGTTTTAATACAATGTCGGATAGTTAACAGCAATAAGGAGGAAAAAAATAGCTGACTAATGATAATAATATAGACAAAGTTCAAAATTTAGATACAGTGTATATAAAAAATTTAATATTGATCATTTCTGTATCTTTAATGTCTCAATCTAAACTGTAAATGGTATTTATTCAATTTCTTCCTTACTTTCTTCCCTTTTAAATATGACAGAAATACATCCCAAATAATGGTAAGATATTAAGTAATACACCATTGCCACTAATGTCTTATCATTACGTAGGAGGTATATATATATATATATATATATATATATATAGGAAGTATTTCTACCAGATACTGTATAAGATATATTCATCAATAAAATTTTTTTTTTTTTTTCGGGAAGTGCTATCTGATGATCTGGCGTCATTTAAAAGGGCTCTGGTAAAATAAATTATTATAATGGTACCTTAAAGTGGTCTGTTTTTCTTTAATATTAGCTCTGGACTTACATTGAGCTCTCAGGATTTCATCCTCCTTGGAATTACCCATGCAGATTACCAAGTTTTTCATAACTTATATATATATATATATATGCTTTGAAGCATAAAAAAACATAAAAAAATCAAAATTTTCAGGCACACTGGTTGTATATTAATATATTTTTGTCTTATTATTTCAAGTGGGTTCCTTGACTAGTTTCAACCAGCATGGTCATCATCAGGAAAGAAAAATCCCTGCTTGTTAGTAGCAGTAAATTACAGGAGTGAATGACTGTTTCTAAAGAAAGTGAACTTTATGTGTAGTTTTCTTTTGTTTTTTTATTGTTAATTTTGGTCAGTCCTTGGTTTGGTCAATCAGCCCCCCTATCTCTCTCTCTCTCTCTCTATATATATATATATATATATATACATAAAAAGCTCAAACACCAATATTCCATTAGTGTTTGTGCCTTTTATATTATATTCTTACTCTGTCCTGGACATTGAGTTCTACCTGGATTCTATCCTCTTGGAAATTTATATGTATATATATATATATATATATATATATATATATATATATATATATATTACATACATACATACATGGGGTGATTGAAAAGCAACACCCATTTTAAAATACTTATAATTTATTTATTAACTATAATTTTTGCAGGAAATGGATATGAGAGGAAAGCATTTAGCATGAGGTTTTATTTAAAATTTGATATGGCCGCCTGATTTCCCTACAAGCTTTGCAAGCCACCTAGGAATTGTGTCAACCGATTTCACCAGGTACACTTGTGGTATAGAAGACATTACTTTTTTGCTCCTTTAACCAGCCCCAAAGAAAAAAGTCACAAGGTGTTAAGTCAGAACTGCTGGCTGGCCACTAATACATAAAATAGGGAGTTACTTTTCAATCACTCTATATATTTTCAAATTATGTCTAGCAAGGCATTGAAAACAGTTGGTAACTTGACAGGTGAACAGTTTGATGAATTTTTTCAAATTTCCTGTATCTCATCAATATATCACATTATGACTTTGCTTCCTGTCTGAAGATTTTGATTCATCTCTGCTGTCATATTGATGATTGGTAAAGCCTATATAGACAGACAAATAGTTTTTCACTGTGGCTACAGAAAAATGTTTGGCATTCAGAAGGAAAACCAGCTTACAACCATATCATGTTGAAACACCGGTTCACTTACTATCACCAAAGTTAAGCAATATCAAACCAAGTCAGTTTCTATATGGGTGACCACTTGGGAATGCAAGCTGCTGTAAGCTTGGATGTGCAAACGGTGAAATGGATAAGAACTCTGAATGAGAAATCAGAAAACCAGGTTAGAATTCCAGTTGGGTTCATTGCATTCACTTTCACACTGATAATCTTGGGAAAGGTATGAATCTAGCTTTTTGCCCCCACCCCATGGTAAATGGTAATATTGGCCATTTTCCTATGAGGAAACATTTGACATTCAGTGACTGCTTTTGGTTGAAACTTATAAAATCTTTCTCTTAAAACAATTTTTTAGGAAAACAGTTTATGCAAGTCCTGCAGATTTTATCACTCTTTTCATTATTTTTTAAAAAATTATTTCACTCCAAGCAAGGCAGGAATGCCACTAGCACTCA